GCAAACTCACTCTCCAACCTCTCCTTCAACTCGATATCGATATCGCTGCGATTATCGTTCAACAACTCTGCTTGATTCTCTTCGGCCGTGTAAAGTGTTGATGATACCGAATGAATATCGGTCGATGCTTTCGACCCTGAATGCTCATCGTTCGCCGATGTCTCAGTCGCGTTCGATTCAGATGACCTCCCAGTTAGATTGCGATCGTCGCCATCCGAACGATTATTGTTCGATTGATCCATCGATGGCGACGAAGACGACTCACCAATCAGATTCAGATTCATGTCGTCTTGTCGTTGACCCAGATGAGTGGATGATGAGCACGATGGCTCGGCGATATCAGCAGCACTCTTCGATAAGTTAAGTGATAACGAGAGATTCTTTGAGTCGTTTTGTTCGCTGTTCGTTAGCGTCACATCAAAAACACTTCTGACTGGTGGCTGTATCACATTGATGTCCTGAAACTTCATCATTACTAAGCGTTGAAGTTATTTCCAAGTGATGAACGAATGAAAGCCGTTCAAATGAAGATAACAATTACTTCATTAATGATATTCGAAGGTGACAGAGTTCGTTGCTCAAAATCAGTAACCGTGAAAAGATCTGACGCAGTGGCTGAAGACGACGCTGTTTGCGTATAAGCGAATAAGCGCTGAATGGAGGATAGTGTATTGTCATCGCAAAGCATTTCTCGAGTCGAAGCGTGCAGATTATCGTCGGATCGATGCAGCAGATCGCGCTCGTGCAGGCGGTGTTCATGCGCATTTCTCTTCAGTACTGTTGACACGGATAAATTCGATATGCTTGCTCCATCCTTCAATATTCTACACTCAATCTACGCGATTATGCATTCAATAGATCGAACATTTATACAAATGCACACTTCACAAATGTCGTCAGCTAATTCGGTGATTCGCAGTTAAGTTGGCAGGCGGATTCAAACATTCGGTGATCTCTGACGAGGCAAATTTCCGACTTAAGTGGCTAAAGTCGGTATCCAGTGACCATGATTTGAAAGGTTTTTTTATTTGTTGACGCTTATTATCGGCTCATCTCCAAAGCACACAGTGCGGCAAACTCACAATCACATCCGACAATGAGATTGCAACGTTTCAAGAAGACTTCTGGTTTTTTAGGTGATGAAATATCATGACTGCACTCAAGGCAGAGGCAAATGAGTATCAAAAATGATATTTACTTATGGAAGAGATGTACATATTTATACTGAGTTGTGGTTGTTGG